AATTGGAGATGACAGCAACATATTGAAGTGAAAATACTTAAGGCATATGTAAATAGTGATTGGAGTACAGATGAGAGCTTAGGGAGGGAGATTTGAGCATGTTTAGTGAAAATTGGTAGTTGAGTTTCAGAGAATGGATGAAGGTAGAAGAGTAAAAAGCTGAGGCTAGAATCTTTAGGAGTAAGCACAATTAATGAACAGGAGAACAAAGAAGAATACAACCAAAAGGGAAGTGTTTAAAGAATTATAGGCTAAACAGAAGACAGAGGACTTGGAAATGGCTTTTGTGTCTCTGGTAGCCTTCCAGAGTTTTATTAAAGAGGTGTAAATATGAATGTCTGTCTCATTGTGAGTTGACTTTTCTGTACTCCAGAGAGTACAGCAGAGTTCCAGGCCTCAATTTCCATACTGTGTTGTTTTCAACACTGGAGAAACAAGGAATTTGAGTGAAATTTTTCACACCAAAGCAATGAACTTGAACCTGGCCACAGTGGAATGATGTCTAAGCCTGTTGGAATCTCATGCCAGGGTTAGATGAAGGAAAAGTAAAATAGGAATAGAATAGTGAAATGTTGAAATGAAGATGAGATTAAATGAGAAAGCTCAAATCAGCCTGGGGAGGAATTAGATGATAAAGGGTCTTCCAAGGCAAGTGGACTAATTAGGAAGTTGGTAAGAGTTCAGTTGATTGATTATGACTGTGAACCAACAGTTACAATATTTTTCCTTGTGATGAACTAAGTCAAAGGGGTATAACCAATAAACTGTACTCTTTAGTGCATCAGCGACCACTCTAGCTATAACTCAGGCACTAGTAGTATCTAAAGTACATTTTTTTTTGTGAGGAAGATCAGCCCTGAGCTAACATCTGTGCTAATCTTGGCCTGACAAAGCGATGCCTCGGTGCATGCCCAGGATCCGAACCTGGGCCACCAGCAGTGGAGTGTGTGCACTTAACCGCTACGCCACGGGGCCGGCCCCCATTTTTTTTTTGGTGAGGAAGATCAGCCCTGAGCTAACATCCATGCCAATCCTCCTCTTTTTTTTTTTTGCTGAGGAAGACTGGCTCTGGGCTAACATCCGTGCCCATCTTCCTCCACTTTATATGGGACACCACTACAGCGTAGCCTGACAAGCGGTACATCGGTGCACACCTGGGATCTGAACCCAGGCCGCCAGCAGCGGAGCGTGCCCACTTAACCGCTGTGCCACGGGGTCGGCCCCCTAAAGTACATTTTTTTATTAGACTATTTAATATAGCCAGATTTTGAGTGGGTTTATGCTGCTTTCATATGCACTTGAGGACAAGTTTTAGGAATGGAGTATGTGTCTTTATCTGCTGGCAAGTCCACCTACTATACTTTTTATAACTCTGGTAAACTCACTTGCAAATTAGAATATTGAATTGGTGATATGTTTATTTCCTGTTCTTAAACCAGGCTTTCCAAAGTATAAGGAGAAATTTTTATACTGAGTCTCTCTCCATTGGGTAACCTTTCTGTGTTCTGAGGTTCTTTTTGTGGGAAGGGAATTTTTCTGGCCATGTTTTTGGTCAGTACTCTGGTTCAACCTTGCCCATCACCATTAACAGCTGTTGTGTGAGTATCACCATCATGATTATCTCCATAAATGTTTCTGTTTCTTTTTTTTCTTTTTTTCTTTATTTATTTTTTCCCCCAAAGCCCCAGTAGATAGTTGTATGTCATAGTTGCACATCCTTCTAGTTGCTGTATGTGGGACTCGACCTCAGCATGGCCGGAGAAGCGGTGCGTCGGTGCGCGCCCAGGATCCGAACCCGGGCCGCCAGCAGCGGAGCGTGCGCACTTAACCGCTAAGCCACAGGGCCGGCCCCAATGTTTCTGTTTCTTAAGTTCAACACATCTCAACTTTGAGAGAATGGAAGTTTATATTAACTTGCCTAAACTTATACTGCCTATTGTGTATGCAAAAGCTCATTTTTGAAAATAAGAAGCCCATCCAACATAAGCATTTCATTTAGCACTTTAAAAGTGTAGTTGAAATACAGGGCACAAGGAGATACTGCCTGATTGTTAATTTTTACCCACCACAGGAAATACAGCCAGAGTTCTAGGCCTCCAGTTCCAGACTATGTTGTTCCTGACAATGGAGAGACAAAGGAATGTGGGTAAGGTTTCCCTTGACAAAGCAATGAATGTGAGCCTAATCACAATGGTTCTTGTGGACATCTTATATGTGCTAGAATTGAGTCCACTGTTCTGAACCAAGTTCCATGTGTTTATGGTTGTTGACAGGTCTGTTACTTTGTCATTATTGCAGGGATGAATGTAAGCTTCAAGATCAAACCTTCATCACCCAGCAAGAGCCAATCTCAGACTCTTCTGGTGAACTGGTAATACCTAATACTTAGAAAGGATCACAAGAGTCTGACATGGTAAGGAGTCTGTAATCTAACCAAACAATACACATAACTGTTACCTTTCCCCATGCAGCTTCTTGCTGAGTCACAGTTCTTTTCTCTACTAGCCAGGAGCTCTCAGGGATCAGTGAAATGAGTAATAACACTAGTATGAGATCATGGACATTTTTATAACAATATTCACACTAAGCAAGGCATATTATACTTGATGCAAATATGTATTTTGCCTCTTCTAGTGTGGAAAACTTATAAATTGCCTTTTGAAATATGCAGCCTAGCCAAAATATGTACTATCTTTTATGTAAGAATAAACATAATGACCATGTAACTCTTGGTTTTGGACAGAAGTGGGAAGTCTGAGTCACTACAAGCTAGGGGGCAAAGACATTGTAAGGAAGTATGGCACCATGAAAAAAAAAGCCAGGTTTTCTTTTTAAGAGCTTTTTATTTGTAATTTGTTATTCATAATCAATTAGTACAATGTAGAATCTGAGAAATTTCAAATGAGGCCACATCAGAACAAAAAGAAAATAAAACGCTGAATTTTTTAGCTGCTACTAGCATGAACATAACTGTACAGATTTTTTTTCCATCTAAGAAACAAGAAACTCTTTTGAGTAGCAAGTAGCTAGCCAAAGGAGTTGATTCCAATTAGAGCAAGGCAATTCTGATTAGTTATTATTTTTAAAAAACTGATTTCCCTTAAATGTAAGGAAAACTTAGGAGTCTCTGTGATTATATTTAATTCCACTTGGAATTTAGATAATATGACCTTTTATTCAACCCAGCTTGTAGTTGTTGGATTGGATTAAATATCACTACCAGTTGCCAGCTGTGATAAGAAATGAAACAGGGGGGTACTGGCTCTGTGGCGTAGAGGTTAAGTCTGGCATGCTCCACTTTGGTGGCCAGGGTTTGCAGGTTTGGATCCCAGTGAGGACCTACAGCACTTGTCAGCCATGCTGTGGCGGCAACCCACATACAAAACAGAGGAAGATTGGCACAGATGTTAGCTCAGAGCTTATCTTCCTCAAGCAAAAAGAGGAAGATTGGCAACAGATATTACCTCAGAGCAAATCTTCCTCACCAAAAAAAAATGAAACAGGGGGCATTCTATCACCAAATTGTAAATTTCTGTGTCCTTGCCTTTAGGAAGGCAAATCCCGCCCCACCCCCACCCCAAAAAGACCCAGAGGGGTCATAAATGTATTTTATTAAAGATCCAGTCACCTTAAGTGATTGAAGATTTTGACATTCTATCCAGCAGCTGGTAGTAATAAGCCTAAAATCCAGAGTACACAAATGTTTTCAAGGTTTTCACTACCCTTAATTCACTGAATAACCCCCATGGAATAGGTTAGCATTATCCACGTGACTAACAAGGAAGTAGAAAAATAAATGACCTATGTCGTCTGGCTGAGGACCAGAAATTAGTCTATCAGAGCCAGTAGGTTTCTCCTAGTTCACTGGGTGAAAACCGTATCAAAACGACAGGATTCAATTAGGATGGTAGGGCAAAAACACAGACTCTATTCTGTTTAGCACATCAATTTCTGTTCTGACTTAAAGTTTAGCTATATCAAAGAAACAAAAAGCATACAGACAGAAGAATCTGTCAAAGCATCTCTTTTTTTTACTACTTTACATCATAAAAAGCTTTGAAATTTCTTAGGCCCCAATCAATTACTGTACACTAAGGGTTCTTTCATGAAAAAGTATCACTAATGAGAAATGCAGGCAAGAGGAAAGAACAACGTAAAAAGTTCGGCAAGTAATATCAGGTTAGACTTGCTTAAGGCAAGAGTCTTGCCCACTGTCATGGTTAGAACACCCCTTGATGTCTGGGGCCTAAAATAACTTTTGAAATGATTTTCTAAAGAAACCTATTGGCATCTGAATTAATGACTGAAGCATTAGTTAATGATTGCTGAAGCAAACCCTGAAATTTAACACTTGGCACACACAACAAAAAGTTGATGTATCCAACGCACACTGAGGTAACCTTGAGAAGTGATTTTAAGAAGTAGGAACAGGGCCGGCCCACTGGCGCAAGTGGTTGGGTGCGTGCGCTCCGCTGCAGCAGCCCGGGGTTTGCCGGTTCGGATCCCGGGTGCACACTGATGCACCTCTGGGCAGGCCATGCTGTGGCAGCGTCCCATATAAAGTGGAGGAAGATGGGCGTGGATGTTAGTCCAGGGCCAGTCTTCCTCAGCAAAAAGAGGAGGATTGGCAGATGTTAACTCAGGGCCGATCTTCCTCACAAAAAAAAAAAGAAGTAGGAACAATGACAATGATAGAATTAGTGGTCATGAATCACTAGGACAAAGTGGTATTCAGCAGAAAAGAATGACGCAGTTGTCACAATTGTGGGATAAGTAGAAATGGATTATATCTTGTGTAGTGTGGAATAAATGGAGGCTCAGGAAAGCTTGACAAAGGGGTCTCTCCCACTAGCATTTACATAGGGCTGTGTCTGAGGATCAATCAAAGGGTTAATTATTTCTGTCCAATTTTCCCATCCAAGAGGTCATCTTCCAATTACTAGAAGATCTTCTTTGCATACACTAATCTTCCCTTCCTCCAAGTCATCAGAAAAAGGGAGAATTTTTAGAAAACAGGTCTAAGCTTTCGTTCTAGATAAGCATTTCACAGTTAAAACAGTTATCACAAAAATAGAAGTATGAAGAGCAAGTGAAAATCTGGTTTCAGAGTTATACTAGGAGTCTCCCTATAGCAACTTTGCAGGGGCTAATGGTCCTGAGAAAGATTTTAGTTACAAGGTATTCCATTCCCAGGGATCTGATGTGAGCAAAGTTTGCAAATGAAGTTGGTCAAGAATAAAAGGAGATTACTTAGGATGGACTGAGTTTGGAACAAATTTGTTTCTAACGGCCCATGGTAGGCATAACTACAGCAGGCGAGGAAAGGGTAGCATCTTCTTCTTTCCACTGAGAAGTGATGGTCTTTAGCTGAGTGTAGAATTGGATACCCTAAAGAGAATAAAGGAAAAAAGAAAGAGAGAGAGTTAGCATATATTTCTGGGGGAGGTTCATGATTCCTCTTTTATTCAGCTTTTGAAGGAGGTGCTGCTAAGTGCTACTCACGTTCCTACTTGAGGAATAGGTGCAACCCAAATCCAATATATTGTTCAGGAGATAATCTATGTAAAACATTTAGCATAGTACCTGGCACATAGTAAACAGTCAACCTTAGCTATCATTATGCTGAAACTAGCCAAGAGCATCTAAATGGAAAAATTGAACAATGTAATCTGCTAAACTTGTAGGTCATTCTGTTCCTAGAGCTGAATATCATGTGCTCTGAGGTATTGAGACATGGCTCAGATCCTGCCTCTACTCCTTCCTGACTGCTCTTTAACCCTGGGCCTTATCTGTGATTTAATGCGCACCTCATAGCAATGTCTGAGGGAAAAATAAAATGACATACAAACATCCCAGCAAAGTAATTGCTGTTCAATAATTGTTAGTTTTTCTCTCCTTCTCATGAAGAAGAAAAAGGAATGAAGGGAAATATATATTAGGCCATTTCTGACAATTGTCAGTGATAAACAGCTCTATACTGAAGTAGTAAAATCCACAATATCTTACAAATCTAAAGTAAAATGTCTGATGTTATACACATTTACTTCTAAATCACCTATAACATGTGAGCCAAAAAAATTCAGCATATTTAAGGCTTTTACATATACATAGTTTATTTTATATGAATACGCTCGAGCAAAAGAGAATAGACTGTGCAGATCTAACACTTATAAAATTACTTGCAAGCTAGAAAGATATTATTAGGAAAAAACACCTGGCTTGATTAAAATAGTCTTCTACAATATTTGACAAAATCTGGGCCATGTTAATATACTGAAAACAACCTTAGAGTTTATTACATACTTTCAATATAAGATACAACTAAAGTTTATATTTTATTATGTAAGAGTGATACTTTCATGTCTTCTTTCCAGAATGCAAAATAGCAATTTAATTACCTAGGGATTTAAGACTTGAAACTGTGTATGAGGTCAGTCTTTTCCTCCAAGAAGCCTCACTTACCAGAGTAACTTACAGTAATTAAACCAAGCCAGGGGAGAAAAAACGAGGAAAAAAACCACAAAACCATTTTAAGCAATAGTTTTACTCTGCTTCCCTTGAAAGAAATTTTTGTTAACAGTATCAAACTAATCAATTTTGCAAAAGCTGTGACTAATGTACAAACTGGATAATCAGCCTCCAAATAACCAAAGTGTTTTTTTAACCAGTTGGCCACACTGTCATATTCTGCTGTGCAATGCCACTGTTAATTTTTTATTAACCTATAAAAGGGAGACCTGTATAGAAAACATGTAATTTATTACTGAAGGTCCCAAAATAGCTGTATTTCTGTGGGACTACAAAGAACTTCCACTAGCCCATTTGTTCAGCACATGTTTAGGTGCCTGCTCTGTGCCAGGTACTGCAGATAAGTAAATAATAATTACAGTGTGGGCTAGTGGTTTAAGAAGACTTCTCAACATGGCTTAAAGAGCCTACATGACTTGCCCCTGCCTACCTCTCTAACCTCATCTCTTACCGCTCTCTTCCTCATTCACTCACTGTGCTCCAGCCCATTTCTACTTTTTGAACATGCCATGCCTGTTCCTGCCTTAGGACATATGCACCTGCTGAAGGATGTGGTAGTAGTGGTAATTTAATCCTCATAAACTTATAAAATATAGGTACTATTACTGTTCTTATTTTACATATGAAGAAACTTGAGGCATAGAGAGGATATACCCCAAGGTCACACAGTTAATAACTGGCTGAACTGGGATTTGAACCCAGGCAATTTGGTTCCAGAACTGCTTATTTTTCTTGTTCAGTGCTGCATTTATAGTGCCTAGACTAGTGTTTGGTAGAAAGAAGCTGTTCAATAAAACTTTTTGTAAATGAATAACTATTATAAGAGAAATATGTGCAATGGGAACATATGAGGGCATACCCAACCCAGCATTGAGGAAGGGGCTGTGGTGGTCATACGTGATTTTCTGGAGGAGTCCATTCTTTAAACTAAGACATGACAGGTGATTAAGACTTAGTCAGATCAAAGGGAGGAGGCAGAAAGAGGGTCACAGGCAGAGGAAACGACATATACAAAGGCTTGGACTTCCTCATGCTCTTTTCCCAAAACTTCGTTGTCTTGAGTTATTCAGGAAGAAGCAGCTTTGGCAAAATTTTGTTAACTTTTAAATCTTTTCTAGGGGACCTACTGACAAGCACTGCTGAACAACATATGACCCACCGAAGCTGCTGGCAGGCCCCTCCTTGCAGAATCTTTATTCCTGAATATGTTCAAAAAGTTTCTTAGAGGAAAAAACATTTTTTTAAGCTTAAAGTTACCTGTTTGCCATAGAAATTGGTGTCTCCCCTGAAGGAAGATCGAGAGCCGGTGAAAGAGAACATTGGCAAAGGCACTGGAATGGGGACATTCACACCCACCTAAAGCATAACAAATCCACGTCAAATACTAAGAAATGGACTCAAACAAAGGAACTTGCCATTTAGAAGCACAAATGCTTGGCATCAGAGAGACCAATTTTAAGTACCCACCTTCCACCCCATCCTCCATCCCATGAACTTTTATTCCTGAGGAAGAAATGGGACACTGTGGGAGATCAGAAGGGCAGCAGTGACCAGTGTTTACCGTTTCCCCTTACAGTAAATGGCTACAAGAATTTCCTAAACTTTCTGTTCACAAACCTGTCCGACATCCACCAGGTGGGAATATTTCCGAGCAGTGGCTCCATTGGTGGTGAAGATGGCAGTTCCATTTCCATATGGATTGTCATTTACAATCTTGATAGCTTCATCCAAAGAGTCTGTCTCCAGAACCACAAGAACTGGACCAAAAATCTCCTCTTTGTAACAGGTCATATTTGGCTGCCAGGAGTGATGCATCCGGAAAAGAAGTCAGTATTTTATGCTTATTTGGTACTTTATTACCCATTGTTTACGTGGACAGCTTTCATGTTAGTAATCTCTTTTCATTTTAAACCACCTACAAAAAAAAGGTGTTTTCTTGCTGTGTTCCATCTTCCAAGCTACCAATCATATAAACAACTTGAAATTCCCATTAACTACAACTACACTCCTTTCCTAAAGCACTGTATTTTTAGGTACCATGACCCATCACTAGCTTCCTCTTTTATACCTGTATAACTTGTTTATATAATTGTTATGTTACTGAAAAGTTACATGAAAATTCATTTTTTTAAAGTCAAAAATATATTAAAAACACCACAGGAGAATTTTTCTGATTAAAGAAAACTGTGCTAAGTTTTCTGTAACATAAACAATCCATTCTCATTTACTCCTTTGCCTCCTAATGAGTCTATACATTTATATTTTGATATCAGGTCACAGTAAACATTTAAAACATCCTTTACCACTGCTAGTCAGCTGTGTTTGTTGCTGTTAAGTGGATTTTTCCTCTGTGGTTCTGTGGCAAGAGATTTCATAATTTCTACTACTCTTACATTCAACTCTTGATTATTCAGGATTACAGTAGGATTAGTGGGGACATATGAATTTTAAAAAAAAGCCTCCTAACCTCAATTTAGTCATTAGTTTTAGCTGAGAGACTTGGCAGAGTTTTGATAAATAAAAAGTGACAGACCAATTCTTTTCCTTTCGTCACTTTCTGGTGAAGATGCAGCTAAACTGTGGGCACAGAGTAGGTACTCAGTAAATACTGGGTGGTTGATATGTTGATGGAGATACTGCAATAGCTATAAGCTAGGCAGTAAGAAGGAGCAGGAAGAAAAAATTAACATTAAACAAATAAGTGACAAGTATAATATAAGATACGGTTGGCAAAATATGGTCCGTGGGCCAAATGTGGCTTGCTGCCTGTTTTTGTACAACCCACCAACTAGGAGTGGTTTCTATATTTTTTTATTTATGAAAAAATCATGACAGAATTATTTGAAATTAAAATTCCATTGTCCATAAATAAAGTTTTATTGGAACACAGCCACACAATGTTGATGGCTGCTTTTACACTAAAATGTCAAGAGTTGAGTAGTTGTGACAGAGACTGTATACCCCTGCAAAGCTGAAAATGTTTACCATCTAGCCCTTTAGGGAAGGTTTGCCACCCACTGCTATAGTGGAAAGAGGTTGGGAGTCAGGAGGGGAGGCTCATTCAGACTCCAGATAAAATAACTGAGTTATCCTGGCAAGAGATGAGGCCTCTAGTCATTAAATGTTTTCATTTATAAATTGGAGGGATGAGATTCCATAGCTTCTAAGGTGCCTTCAGGTCTTGTATTTGTGAAATAAATAATCCAGAGTTGTTCACCTTGACATTTGAGATGATGGTCGGTCCAACAAAGTTGCCATTTTCATAGCCTTTGACTTTAATTTTTCGACCATCAAGAAGGATGGAAGCTCCCTCCTTTGTTCCGCTATCAATCAGATTACAGACTCGCTCTTTGGCCTGGGGACTGATCAGAGGGCCAAGATCAGCTCCAGGCTGGTCTCCTGTAAAACAACACAGAAATATTTAAGGTTTTCATTAACATAAATTATGAGTGCTAACTAAAGATGAACCCAAATGACAAGTATAGTATAAAGAGAAGCAATGGTAAGAATAGACATGATTGTTCCCATTGGCCAAGGTCAATGCTAAAACCAAGTCTAAAGGAGCTAGGCAGATAATTGATTACCTGCATTGACTCTCAGATTTTTGGCACGTTCCACCAGCTCTGGCAGCCACTTCTTAGCTTCTCCCACAAGGATCGCTGTTGAAAGAGCCATGCAGCGCTGACCAGCAGCTCCAAATGCTGCCCCAACCAGCTGGTTCAGGGTATTTTCCTTATTGGCATCTGGCATGACTACCCCATGGTTCTTGGCTCCCTAAGGAAATACAGAAAGTACATGAGATCTTCCTTTGCATTATCCAATTAGGCTAAGAAATTAAGCAAAGAATCTGAGATTTCAAGGAAACCTGAGAATTTAAGGAAAGGACTACAGAATTTATCTTTTGTTGCTTTGAGGATAGACTATCATTTTGATATTGCTGACGTTTTGGTAATAGTAAGCAAGTCTCCAGGTTACTTTTTTTTTTTAATTTCTCAGCTGATAAGCTGATATGTGTTAATTTAGATCAAAACCATTACCAAAAAGCCCCAATCACATTCAGTCAAACTGACAGGCTAAGTACTGTATCCAGGAACCAAGGAGCACTCCTTTCTCTTTCCTAAGTCAGATAGGAAAGAATCTGTTGTCTGCTAGGGTTTCCAGTTATATGAAGAGCAATGTAAACAAAGAGCTGCCAGTAATAATGCCAGTAGCCTGAAAGGCAAAACAGGAGGTAGACCTCCTAATACACAATTTCTGGAAAGAGGCTGCTCAAACTGGCTTGCTTCTAGATAATTCTAGATACATAGCCTCATAAACTTCTTTTCTATGTAGGATAACATATGATCACGTTTCCAGATACAACTATAGTTGAGTGCATGAATAGAACCAAGTCTGCTACTTAATTTTATCCCCATTACACATAGTATACTATTAGACACAGAATACACTCAATAAATACATAGTGAACTGGGAGAGGCTTAAGTCAAATTGGCCAAAACACATTCAGCCATGAAAAGAAATAAGTGGGCATACCGTGAACAGTTTCCAAGCCTGTGCATAGGAGGCTATCCTTTCTGCAACATTAGCCAAATGGTGAGAAAGTGGCAACTGGACTTTATATTTAGTATTAAAGAATTGCTAAGTATTCGGCAAGGAGCTAGTAGGAGAACAGCAAAACTATGCGACTAAATAAACCACACTCACATATCTTACAGGGATATTGGGCTCTTTCCAATGCCTTAAATAGCCTGGACTCTTAGGGAAGATCATATCTTGGACATTAGTAGTTAGGATATGCCTTAAAAGAAGGAAGGATAAAGGGCTAGAAGCATGGTCTGAAGGATGAAACACCAGAACCAGAGTTCATCTGTTACTGCTAAAGCCCAAAAAATTTGAATAACATTCTTAGGGAGAAATGTGCCCTTTGTCACCAAGACTAGTTGTATAAGATAAAAGGTAATTAAAGTGACTTTGAATAAAACTCATCACAAGGTTCAGGGTTAAAGACATTCAGAATGAAATGGGAATAAAGAAACACTGGCATTAGAGTGAGATGTGTGGCCCCTCTGCTGAAGGGCTGTTTCTAGGTAATTTTAATACATAGAGTTTAGGGAAAAAGGAATAAGAAATCACCATATTTGCTTGAACTCTCTTGCCATGTCTTGACCCTCTCTCGAAGATGTATTCTCCTGCCTTGTTGGATCCCACAAAGCTGATGGCTTTGATATCCGGATGATCACAAATAAAGTTTACAGCTTTAAGAAGAAAATAAATGATCACCACAAAAGAACAAATAGCTATAGGCTTCTCAACATGGTACATCTCCCCTCTTCCCACTGGTATGAATGAGAATTTTTCATACCTTTGTTTTTCTACCCTGGGTTCCCATTTTGAAGTTCTCTCCTTGTTCTCTTAAATTCTTTAAACTACAAGTTCTATTTAGCCTTTTCTCTTCATTACTTTTCTCATTTGCTAGTCAGAATTTCCACTTCTAACTCAGAAGGCTACAACTCCTATTTTCCTCCAAAATAACAGCATTTCAATACTCAACTCTTCCTTTTGTCCTTTAAGAATGTGGTATTTCCTCACCAGTCACTATATACTGGGACTTGCAGATACCATGTGAGAGGCAATATAGCATAGTATTTAAAAGTGAAAACAAGGGTCAGCCTTCCTAGGTACACACATCCTGGCTTTGATGGTTTCTAGCAGTGTGACTTTGGGCAAATTACTTAATTTTATTATGCTTCGATTTTCTTATCTGTAAAATGGAAAACTAATAGTACCTGCCTCAAAGCGTTGTTGTAAAGATTAAATGAGATGATAAGGGGCCGGCCCCATGGCGTAGTGGTTAAGTGAGTGAGCTAAGCTGCTGGCGGCCCGGGTTCGGATCCCGGTCACGCACCGATGTACCACTTGTCAGGCCGTGCTGTGGCGGCATCTCACATAAAGTGGAGGAAGATGGGCATGGATGTTAGCCCAGGGCCAGTCTTCCTCAGCAAAAAAAAAAAAAAGAGGAGGATTGGCAGATGTTAGCTCAGGGCTGATCTTCCTCACACACAAAAATAAATAAATAAATAAATGAGATGATATATGAAAGGGATGAGGAACAGTGCCTGAAAACAAAAGCACTTTTTAAGTATTAGCTATTATTATATAAATTAGAAGGTCTTCAGGTCTATAAATTCTCTGAGTTAAATATCCTCATAAATTCTCTCAATATTGAAGTGAAAATTTTCTCTTTAATCTTATCTGTGTCTTGCCCTAATCCATATTTCTTTGTCCCAATGTATCCTATAGGGCAAGATGCATGCTACTCCCCAGTTAAGTTACCTTAGCATACAGAGATGGCAAAACAGTCAACAAACATTACCTTCAAACATGGAGGTTACTATTAGTAAATCCCTTCCTCCCTAGGTTCCTCATCCTAAAACACCCATCACCACTCAACACCTTTGATTTTTTGGTAGCCAGATTAAGTGCCACATACAGAAGGGCATTTACCTTCATGTTGTCCATGGATGACATTCAGTGTTCCGTCAGGGGCACCAGAGTCCTGGAGCAACTTGGCAAGAAGCATAGTTGCTCCAGGAACTCGCTCTGATGGTTTCATTAGGAAGGTATTCCCACACACCATGGCCATGGGAAACATCCAAAGGGGGATCATGGCAGGAAAATTGAACGGAGCAATTCCTGCACACACCCCCAGAGGCAGACGGTAGGAATAAAGGTCCATGTCTTTGGTGATGGATGGCATGGTCTCTCCCAGAATGAGGGATGTCACACTGCAGGCATGCTCAACCACCTCTGGAACAGAGAAGAGGTAGTCAGGCCATCAGCTCTCCACACTATACACCACAGTCATATGTTGCTTAACAATGCGGATATGTTCTGAGAAATGTGTTTGGCGATTTCGACATTGTGTGACTATCACAGAGTGTACTTACACAAACCTAGATGGTATAGCCTGCTACATACATAGATTATGTTGGTACTACTAATCTTATGGGACCACTGTCATGTATGCATCTTTGACTGTAACGTCGTTTTGTGGCGCATGACTGTACTTAGCTTTGTCATTCTCTAGACAGCTCTGAGGACAGGGAGTGGCTCAGGCCAATGACAGAAGGAAGAAACACTGACTTGCCCTTCCATGTGAAGGGGTTGTGCAAAATGAGATTCTCTGAATGGGAAGAAGACAGTGAAACGCATATACCTACTGGAAGATCATTCAAGTAAAATAAAGAATGAAGTAAATCAATCTCATAGATAACTGAGAAGTATTGACATTTCCCACAAGTATTAAAAAAGACATCACGGGATAGCAAAATCTACATAAAGGAAGAAACAATCCCCATTCTTGGATCTTTGCCTTCCATCTTCCTTTGCTCCTTCCCAAGGGTCCCTGAACTCCCCATGAGGGATTCCCAGCTTACGAAGGCCTCGAAATACATCTCCTTCAGCATCAGCTAGGGTCTTCCCTTGTTCCAGCGTGATTACCCTGGCAATTTCTTTCTAGAGAGAAAACACACAAATAGAAACCAATGCAATCCTTTTAGTTCACAGGCAGCCAAGGAAGAACAAAACTGGGGGAGAAGTAGTACGAGGGAGAGAGCCATGATCTACGTCTCTGGATTGTAGAGTTGCCGAGGGCAGCTAAAAGGGCCTCTGGGGGAGTGACAAGTAGACAAGTATCCCCTAGGCAACAGCTTGGAAAATTATACCATTCAGATTTCTTACCAAGTTTTCTTTAATAAGTTGTTGATAGCGTAGCAGGACCTGTTGACGGCTTAATACTGAAGTGTCTGCCCATGCAGGAAAAGCACGTTTGCAGGAAGCAACACCTGCATCCATTTCAGCCTTAGTGGCCTGAGGGACTCGACCAATGACCTCATTAGTGGCCTGATGGGAAAAAGCAGCACATGATCCTCTGCCCCCACCCCACCTTCTCCATTTTTCATCTAGTCACAGAGGCAGCACCATGTGCTTCATGATAGACACTCAGGCCCCCAGTTTCCCACCATGTTTCCAGAATTCTAGGTTGGTTGGTTTAAGTCCCAAAGGCCTAGTAAGCTTTGCTTACTGGGTTGTGGATGTTGGTCCATTTGTCACTTTTGGATTCAACAAATTTCCCATCAATGAAGAGCTTCACAGTTGGCTAGGAAAAACAAAAAACAGCAACAAAAAAACTTTGTATTAGTTATTGCTTTACTTCTCTCTTTCCCTTTCACAACGAGGAAGGAATTCGGGTTGATAACTGAATCTACTGCTCTCTAGAAATGTTCAGTGGGGGCTGGCCCCGTGGCTTAGCGGTTAAGTGCACGCGCTCCGCTGCTGGCGGCCCGGGTTCGGATCCCGGGCGCGCACCAACGCACTGCTTCTCCGGCCATGCTGAGGCTGTGTCCCACATACAGCAACTAGAAGGATGTGCAGCTGTGACATACAACTATCTACTGGGGCTTTGGGGGAAAAAAATAAATAAAATTAAAAAAAAAAAGAAATGTTCAGTGGGGAAGAGAAACACAATATACTTGTCTATAGTGTTAAGATGTGGCACAGCCTTTCAATACTGTGATCTCTCTGAACATGGGAAATTCCCTGCTAATCACACAGTGGAACTTCATGAGTAAACACACGTCACTGAGAAGCTTATACTGAAAAAGCAGCAGACTCTATGTTAACAAAGATTAGCTATTATGACTTATTGGCCCAGCTAACCTTCTGTCATATTACCATGAGCCGTGTCTTATCTTTACGATCAAAATATTTTTAAATGTTTCTATCTGTGTGTATTTTTTCTGAGAAGTAGCTTACTTTAATTAAATTTTCAAAGGGGTCCGTGGACCAAAAAGGGTGGACTACTGTCTTACAGTATGTGCATACTTCTATATAGAAAGGGTTTTGAGCACCAGTCCTTATTTATTAGATTTTAGGTACTGCAAATGGCTGACAGACAGAAGGTCTGTGGAAACAGCTCTAAAGGTTGTTAGGAAGACAACTATCTGGCAGAGTCAAACAAAACTTCTGGAAGCCATGAAAATGTTTGTATCTTTTGACACAGTAACCCTATTTCACAAGGGAAATAATCTAAAAGAAGGAAAAAACTATAAATAAATGTTTTATAATATTGAAAAACTGAAGCAATCTAAATGTTATATGGGGAAATTATTATTATTATTATTATTATTATTTTTTTTGTGTGTGTGTGTGAGGAAGATCGGCCCTGAGCTAACATCTGCCAATGCCCCTCTTTTTGCTGAGGAAGACTGGCCCTGGGCTAACATCCATGCCCATCTTCCTCCACCTTATATGGGATGCCGCCACAGCATGACTTGCCAAGCGGTGTGTCAGGTGCTCGCCTGGGGTCCGAACCGGCGAACCCTGGGCCACCGCAGCAGAGCGCGCGCACTTAACTGCTTGTGCCACTGGGCCGGCCCCTATATGGGGAAATTATTATTATTATCATTATTTTTTTGTGAGGGAGATTGGCTTTGAACTAACATCTGCCAATCCTCCTCTTTTTGCTGAGGAAGACTGGCCCTGGGCTAACATCCATGCCCATTTTCCTCCACTTTATATGGGATGCCACCACAGCACGGCTTGCCAAGCGGTGTCTCAGTGCGCGCGTGGGATCCGAACTGGCGAACCCCAGGCCGCCACAGGGGAGCGCGCGCACTTAACCGCTTGCCGCACCGGGCCAGCCCCTGGGGGAATTATTATAATGAGTTAATTCAGGTTATAGCTACTTGATGGAATATTATGCAGCCATTAAAATCATAACTATAAAGACTATCTTGCGATACTGAAAATGCTTACAACATAATAGATATATTATTAGATAAGAAAACTAAGAAAGTTTCACATACACTCTGAGCACAATTATATAAAGAAGATTAAATGGCAATTTCCCTAATTATACTGGATTCCTTCTCAGCAGTCAACCTTTAGTGCCAAATAAACTCACCACTGAAGAAGAAGAGAATGAGGATGCTGGATACCAAGTGGAGTTTACCTTGCAAGAAACCTATGAGGTAAAAGAATGATTATTTTGATAAACGAGAGCAGAAAATTATTAAAAACTTAGCAAATGACTACTGTATGCTTACCATTATTGTGAGCATATGAAAAAGGACTTGGTGTTTGCTCTAAAGGGTTATATAGTCTTTAAAGAGAAAAGATACGAGACTATGAGATACAGCAAACTATGAGAAAACAATAAATCATGATGATCATGTCCTCAATATCCAGGACAGTTCTGATGTAAAAAAATATATATATATTTTTTGTCATTAGATCATATTTTCCTAATTTTTGGCCTGGGAAATGTAGTTATTATAAATCTAACAATATGAAAACACTTAGCATGGTATCTAACACAATAGGTTTTGAATATGAGATATTATATAACCAAGTGTCAAATGTAAGTATAATAGGCCCATACAAGTCCTTGAACACAGAGGTTCATAGCAGCTTTATTTGTAATTGCCCCAAACTTAGAAACAACCCAATGTCCACCATTGGATGGGTGAAGAGGGAAACGAATGTGGTATATCCATACATTGGAATACTACTCAGCAATAAAAAGGAATGAACTACTGATACATGCAACAACATGAATAATTATAATAATTATACTGAGAGAAGTTAGACATAAAAAGAGTACATACTGTATGATTCCATTTATATAAAACTAGAAAATGCAAACTGATCTGTAGTGTCGGAAAGCAGATCAGTGGTTGCCTGGAGATGACAGGGAAGGCAGAGAGGAGGCGGTAAGAGGGAAACTTTTTGGGGTGATGGATATGTTCATTATCTTGATTGTGATGATGTTTTCACAGGTGTATACAAATATTAAAACTTATCAAATTGTACACTTAAATATATACAGTTATGTCAATTTTATTTCAGTAAAGCTGTCTAAGAAAATGCCACACGTATCTTATAGGAAAAGAACATGTTACACAGGTAATATTTAATAGGGTATAATCAGCAAATGGGGGGGATCAGGTATAATGAAATAACTCTCTAAAAAATAGTTTGTATATATGCTATGGGAGTTGATTTAAGAAATACTCAAGTATAATTAAAGTGTGCAAACTGAAATACTCAGGACTGGAATATAAGAGAAAGCTGCAATCTAATAACCTATTATCTTGTCTGAAGAGAGACCATGTTAACCAAAGGTTGGGGCATAAGTGCAAGTATTTGTGTGCCTGCAGCACTGTCCAGAGGAAAGGGTGCTGGTCCTTCGGGTCAGCAGACAATCCTTCCAAAAGCCTAGTCTGCTTCCTTTGCCAGTCCCCACAAAAGCTATTTCAAACTACCAACACTCTCCTGGAGAGTGTCTTCTTTATAGCCATGTTCCCAATACCAACTTAGTACATAGGGTGTTCAATAAATATCTACTGAACAAAAGAAAGGTCCACTGGGCAGATACATTGCCTGACTGCCCCCACCCGACTAGGTTAGGTCTCCCTTTTTTGTACCCCCATAGCAGCCAATACATCCCCTGTCAGGTTTATTTGTCTCTGTTGTAATTACCTGGGTACTTGCCTATTACCCCAAAGACTGTAAGTTCCATGAGGGTGGGCACTGCATCTGTCTTGTTCACCTACTTTACAGAGTCACTGTGATCAGGATTGTTCAGATATGGAAAATAGCAAGTAGTTGGTGCTCATTAATTGTTATTATTATTTGGTTATTATTATAAATACTATCTGCTCTCACTCCTTGCTATTTCAAAACTTACCAATTCTCTTAAAACTTCCAATTCTGCTTCTTACTCTCAGGAGCTGACCTTGTTTTTCCTACTTCAGAGGAAACAGAAACCATTGGATGAGAACTTCCTCAATTTCCTACTAGCAAACCTACAAAACTGACCTGCACCTATACCCATCCTTTTTTCCTTCCTCCCTCTTATAATGGAGAAGACAGCTAGCAAGCACCGTGGGGACAAAGTGACTGGGAGACAGAGGTGCACAATCAGTATCTGTGGACTGACTGAAGAGGTGTCTGTGCTCCAATCTAAGGCTAGTCTCTGCACCTGTGCTCTGAAGCCAACCTTTCCTGCTGCCTGACACTTCCATCACTTATCCTTTCTTTCCTGTAACTTAAACCTCTCTCCATCCAATAGCAAGGGTTCTCTATACTAACTACCTTTATTTCCTAATCTTCCACTAACTCTTCAATCTATTCCAGCTTTCATGACTGAACATCAGTGACTTTCTACATCCCATGGACTTTTCCCAGTCCTCCTTGTACTTGATCTCTCAGCAGAGGTGATATGGTTAAACATGGCCTCCTTCCTCAACCCCCTTTTCACCTATCTTCTGTGATGCCCTGGTATCTCTTCTATTTCTTAGGCCACTTCTTCTCTGCCCTCTTTGCCGGTTCATTCTCCTCTCCCTGGCCACTAACTGTTCAAGTTCCTCAAGGCTTGGTCCTAGGCCACCTTTTCTTCTCATTCCACGTACTTTCCTTGGGTAATTTCATCAACCCTTGTGGCTTAATTATCTAGATCCTGATGATGCCCAAATCTGTAGTCTTCTGCCAGAATCTTCCTCTTCAGCTAATACCTACATAACTGTCTTCACATCTCTACTTGGATGTTATTTAGCTACATATTCATCCTCCCACCGACCTTCTCTGTTTCCTGTAGCCCACCTTTCAGCGAATGGGCCTACTCTTCACCTTGTTGCCCAACTAGAAACCTGAATGTCACCCCAACTCCTCCCTCTCTCTCCACATTGAATCAAACAAGTCCTGGCAATCTGTTCTCCTAGAAGTCTTTGGAACACGCCCCTTTTTCTCTACCCTCTCCTGCCATCACCCCAGTCTATATTATCATCGTCTCTCATCTGGACTTCAATAATGGTTTCCTAACAAGTCTCCCAGCCTCCAATCTTAAACCTTCTGAATCCATTTCCACCACATAGCCAGAGGGTCTTTCAAAACACAATCTGGTCCATCACTCTCTTGTTTAAAAACCCTCCAATGGCTTTCCACTGCCTTTGGGATAAAGACTAATCTTGATGTTGCTTAGAAGACTCTACATAGTGTCTTTACTTCTCTAGTTTCATAGCTTGCCACTTTCCTCTTTGCTCTCTTTGCTCTAGCCATTTGGAACATGTTTTGTGCTCTCTCTAATCTTGCACATGCTGCTTCCTCTTGCCCGGAACTGTTTCATCCCATTTTGCTTGGCTCACTCCTACTCCTTAGCTCCCTACTTAGCCATGACTTTGGGTATAGGTGCAGGTCAGTTTTGCAGGTTTGCTGGTAGGAAGTTTTCATCTGATAGTTTCTGTTTCCTTTGAAGTAGGAAAAACAGAATTAACTCCTGAGAGTGAGAGGGGAAATAGCAGAGTTGGAAATTTTTAAGTCTCAATCTCAGGTCTAGGCTAAGTACCTGATTGGGGAGTTTATAAAACAGCTGAATTCCTCTATTCCTCATATCACATTATGGAATAATACCTTTTTAAATCATTAAGTCTGTCTTCTCCTAGATCACCAGATGGTTCTGTCCTCAGCCCCTAGAACCATTCCTGGAATAAAGTAAGCACTCAGTAATATTTTGCAGGATGAAAGAATGAGTACTACCAAGCAATTTTTTGATACAAATTTTGTTTCATGTATACTCTCTTATAGGGCAGAAAATGCACGCATCAGCCAGCTTGAGCATTCTAGGCTACTTAATTTTATTTTTTCACTTGTATACAGCTTCCCTGCTGCAAAGAGGGCATAAAAGGCACTGCATCTGGTATAATAAAACATTATCATATAGTTTTTGACAGGTTAGATCTCTTTTCTTCATTTCCCAAGAAACACTTGTTAGCACTGTTGCTGAAGAAACTCCCCTACGTCCAGTCACACCAAACTTCTTGCTGTCTAGATGTTGCTATTACCTTTACCAGCAACTCCCTTCTCCCCTTGGCTAAAGGCCTGCTAGTCTTGTAAGACTCAAGCCCAGAGCCAACCTCTTTTGGATGCTTTTCCTGAATTGCACAGGTTGAGTCTGGGGCTCTTTCCCTATGTTCCTGCAGTAGCCTGTGCACTCCTACTGTTTAGCACTTATCATTGCATTACAACATGGGAGCTTTCAGTGAGTATTTTACTTACCTCTCCTTTCCCAAAGCCTGGGACAGTGCCCAACACAGAAAGAGATGACAAGATTTAAGTCTTGAATTCTCAGCTCCATCAGTTACTAGTTGGGAGACCTTAGATGACCTTAAGTGTCAGGTAACTCACTTCATTATATTCATTAATTCTAATCTTCACTAATATTCTTAAGACTAGAAAGTGGTGGAGCTGGGACAGAATCCAAGTATGACTGTGAAGCCTGTGCTCTTTCTACCACATCACTGAGGAAAGTCACTGAGTTACTTTAAGACTGGTTTTCTTATCTCTAAATGGGAGTGGTAATATTACAAGGAGCAGAAGTTTTACTAGCCACCATAACGGAGAAGATACGCTGAATACTTAAAATAACTGAAGACGTGAACTCTCTCCTTTACAGATCCTTTTGATAGTCCTTTAAAATTCATGACAGACAGATTCTAGACTATTCTTTATCAAAGAGTCATGTTACAGTAACTCCTAGTTGGCTAAGGATTACTATTTCTGTTCTTTTCCAGGTCAACCCAGAAGTTTCTTCAAATGAATCATAAAATAGTGTCTGTTTCCAAAATAAAGTACATGGGAAAGGAGATTTTTTTCCTTGATGCAAAGGACAAAATACCTTCTTAAGGCTCTCAGTGATTCATTGTGATGGCGGGGAGGCAAAGGAAAAAAGTCCATTTGTATAAAAGATTTCAAGGAGAAGCTGGGAATGAAAAGTATAGGGTGGAAACTTTGTTTCCCTACTTCTAAAAAAAGATACTAGAAAAACAGAACTAGGATCACAGCAAGAAATATATGACTGAAGCCAGACCATCTGACAAACCCTTCCAACCCACTCTCTACACTGTCTCATTAAATAGCGTATTTAAACATGAAACTTTGCTGATTCTGCTAAGAATCTTAAAAGTGCGAGTTTCTGCAGTGGAACTCACTGAAACCTGGTAAATAATAATATTATCTAAAAGTCCAGCAATATAGAGGAAGAAGTTCCCACGTTGGATGTAATAAGTAAGAAGGTCAATGTTGTTTCTTGCAGGTTGGAGAATGTTGCCTGCAGTAAATCTTGCCTGACATTCTAAGTCTTTGCTAGGCTGTGAACAACAGGGGAAAGGCTATGGACAGAATTGGAGATCACAGGCCTCAGGCATGAGCTCCTGTAGCTCTACCACGTCTCCTTAGGCTGGTTTAGGGGGGACCTAAACCCCTCCATGGGCAGAGTTGAGAGTGTATGCGCACATTAAGAGCTGACTTTGGGGCAGGAACTTGGAACTTACACTTCTTGTCTTCCTTGGCTCCCATTTTCTAGCACCTGTTTTAGAGATGTTTAGTCCCTTGCATGTGCTTGGAACAAACTGGTAGCATAATTATGTGTCCTTATTTACCGCCAACATGAACACTGTAACTTTGCTGAGAGAAAGTTTAACTGCAAGTCGGGGCAAGCAAGGGGACAGCCCACAGCCTGTGGAAAATACAAAGCACCATAGCTGAGGAAGAAAGCTCAGCAAATGGCTGCTTTGGGGGAAATCTAGTGTACACTTCTAGAAGGAGATTCAAAGTTCATTCTCTGACCCTCGCCCCTAGTGTGCCTCCTCCTCCCCCCTTTACCTCGGATTATAGACAGTGAAGTAGGGTGGGGGAAGGGAACAATCTGGACGCTCCCAGCAGGTGCAAGAGCTCTAAGAAAGGTGAGCAGAGGGGAAGTTTCTGGGAGAGAGGTGGCTGGTGCAGAGGTGAAAGGGAAAGACGGTGGGCAGACCGAGAGAGGTGAGGGCAAAAGAGTGACAGCAGAGACAGCGCAGGGCTTGAGGAGAGTGGGCTAGAGCCAGAAAAGGGGAGGCTCAAAAATAAAAGGGCGGAGGGCCAGGGGTGATAGTCCAGGGCTGGATCCAACGAGGGTAGACACGGAGTGAGAGGTGGGACAGGGCCGCACAGGTCGGAGGGGAACAGGAGAGTCGGCCAAGAAGGGGTTGGTTCAGAGAGTGGATGGAAAGGACCCAATTCCTAGCTTTGCGACCCCTCGGCGCCACCCTCACTCACCTGCAGGATCCGGGCCCGCACTGCCGCCGCCGCCACCACCGCCGCCATGGTGCTCGCCCACCTCTTCTCCGCCTCCCTGGGCCTCAACTGGCCGAGACTCCCCAGACTCACTACAGCTGCCAGGCCTCGCCCCTCCATCCTGCCTCACCTCTTCATTGGTGGAGAGGACAATTTGCCCTAGCCAATGACTCGGCCTAACACCTGACTCCACCCCTCAGTCTCAGTCCTAGGGGTATGCGATTGGTCAGAAGTAGAAGCTCTCGACCCCTCCCACCTCCGCAAATTCTGTTGGCGGAGGTAGGGAAGACGTCCCTGACTTGGATGCTCTATATTGAGCACACCGGGAAAACGCCCCCTAACCGGGAATCCCGATTGGCCACAGGCACGACCGCGGCCCCACCCCCTCATTGAGGAAAGTAAATAACACTCTCCAAGAATTTGCCGTCGCTCCACCTCATCCGCCGCGCGAGGGGGTGTGGCTAGTATTAGGAGCGGGGCTAGGCAAAGATTGCCCTATGGGGCGGGGAAATGAGAGGGGGCTGCGAGTTTGGAATGGGGTTTCTCTTTGGGGGCGTGGCTTATGAGTCCTTGCTTTCCCGCCGACGGTTGGCCACGTCACGTGACATGGGTTGGAAGATGGCGTCTCCCACAGAGGGTAAGAGCCGGTTTAGAGATCCTTCGCCTACAGGCTCCTTTGCTCTCCTGGGAACTTCCCCTCTCCATCTGCCCCTCGAACTTACACTTCTTTCTCGGGCTCCTCTCCTTTCCGTTTCCTTGGGATGTGGGTGCGTCTTCAGCTCGCTGGTTTTTCACAGCGGCTCTGGAGGTGCGCAGTTTCCTCGCTGGGTACTAGGCGGGTGGAGGAGGGCACACGCGAGGGATCCATCCCGCGTCCTGCCCTTCCTTTAGCCCCATTTGGGTGAAGCTGAGGGCCGAGGAGGAGATACTGCCGGAGGAAAGGAGGTGCCTTACTGTAGCTTTCTACTTCTGCGGCGCCTCATTGAAAGGTCGGTTCTCGTCTTTTTGAGTATCTGAAATGATTCTCTCAAATCCTAGCTGGGATTGGTGGCTGACCTCATTCCTGGACTGGACTGCAAGAGAAACGTGACTCTCTCCTGTTTCCTCAGATTGGTACCGTTGACATGAGAGCCCCGAGGAAAATGAGAATTGAGCTTTTTAGTGTAGTCTTCCACACCTCTCAACCTTTCTTGCCGCTGCTTTATGTGTTATTTCCTCAGGCTGAGTGAATGAACGATTTCTGCTTATGTTGTCTAAGATACAAGTCATCTCAGATAGCAACTGAGTGGTTTTGGTGTATGCATATGCGTTTGTTCTTGGTTCTGCTTTAGAGAGTTAGGGTCTTGCAGTCATTTCTGAACTCACTTAATTTTTGCTTCTGTCTCCCCCATCCCCACGTCCTTTTCATTGATATGTAGTGTTCCCTCCTCAACCCAACACGTTTTGTTAGGAAGGAATCTTGGAAGTTCATTTCAGGACTGAGGAAATATGAGGCCAGAAAAACTGTATTGAGTACCTACTATATGAAAGGCATAATGCTAGGTGTTTGGGGAGAGGAAAAGATTAATCAAACATGTAAACACTTTTGCAGTATCAGGTCTCATTTTAAATGTTGCCTCTCGGGGAGGCTTTCCCAGAATACAATATCCAGAGTTGCCCCCTTCACCATTATTCGCTGTCTCAGTACCTTCATTGTCAGCATAGTTATTCTGTTAACTTTGCCGCTTTCACACGAGATTATAAATTCCAAGTCTGTCTTGTTCGTAGTTGGATCCCAGGGCTTAGCACAGTGCCTGGCAAGCAGTAGGCCTTCAATTAACATTTATTGAAAGAGTGATTAGATATAGGCATAAATAATATATTACTTTGGCTTTGGTTTCATATTTAACTGAAAGTTTTTTTCAAGTTTTTTGAGTGCAGGTACAGACTGTATAAGAAATTATGGGTGTTCGAAGTCAAAAGAGATTCATTCTCCTGCCTGGATGCTCTCTTGTTAAAATGTTCTCTTGCCAGAAAAAAAAAGGGGGGGGGGCGGCATTTAAAATGTCAGCCAAAGGAGTGGGAGTTATTGTTTAATGGGTACAGAGTTTCAGTTTGGGAAGGTGAAAAACTTCTGGAAATGCATGGTGATGTTGGTCACACAACAATGTGAATGTACTTAATGCCACTGAACTGTACACTTAAAAATGGTTAAAATGGTAAATTTATAAGTTTTGGAGATTTTAAAGTTATGTTCCTTGTGTTTGATTTTTCCCTGTCTTCTCTCAATTTCTTTTCCTTTCTTTGGCTGGGAAGAGTTTGGAAATGTTATATATTTTTTTCCTTTGATCTTCTAGCCATCTCCACCATCACTCTATTTTCACTCTTGATTTTTAAAAGTTTTTATTCTCATCTTTCACAGAGTTTCACCCTTCTCCATCTAATATTTTATTTTTAATCTGACAAAATCAAGTGGAGCACTTTGAACTTAAATTCATCTTCTAAATAAGTATCACATCCTAAAATATTCCATTGCCTAGCTCCATCACTTCTGTTTTTAGGGCTCCACCTGTCTCTGTCTTTAAAATTTAATTCAAATAATGTTGATTTGAAAAAAGTTTAGGTCATTTATGCATTTATCTTTTTAAGGCTACATTTACTGGGACTTCTTTGAAAAGGAGAGAGTTGAAATCAAGTAAAGCCATCTAATTAGTTACTTTATGAGAGTAAGACTCACAGCGGAGTCTGAGTTATGCCCCAGACTGGTATCATAAGGCCACCCTTGTTGGTTATTGGATCCTACCCCCAATAAGTTTCTTTTTGTTATGGTAGAGCTTCCCATCAGTACCATTCCTGGGGCATTTGAAAATTGACATTTTGTGTTACATACAGCTTTTCTTTGTTACCATTTTTGGATGCTTTAGTTAAGGCGATGGATTGGAGTTAAGTTCTTTACCAATTAGAATGCCATTAGAAATTCTCTTAGAATATTTGGGAAGAAAATTCAGTTTAGAGAAAAGCACATATTGAAAAATTTTATACATATGTACATTTTCTGGGGAGTAAGTCCATAGCTTTTTTTTCAGATTTCCAAAGGTGTGACTTGTCCAGAAAATGTTAAGAACTACTGTTTATATCATTAAATGAACTAATTTATGCAACTAGTTAGCCTATTGAGTATACAATATGTACTCAACAAATGTTAACTGTTGTTAAAATCCAGCACCTACTGTGTGCCCAGGCAAGAATGGAGAGGAAATGGTGTCAAAGAATTAGTCAGGGGCTGGATCATGTAGGCTTTTATAGGGCACGGTAGATATACATTCACGAATTTAGCTGGTAAGAAGTTCTTTAAGCTGGAGAGTGACAGGAACTGATGGACATTAAAAAAAAAACCAGTTCTGGCTACTTTGTGGAGAATAGATTTGAGGGTAGGGAGGGGAAGGAGTAAGAATGAGAGCAAGGAGACCTATTAAGAGGCTACTGAAGTGGTCTAGGAGAGAAGTGATGGTTTCTTGGATTAATTTGGTGTCAGGGTGTATTTTGGAGATAGAAAGTAGTGGATTTACTAATGGATTGGTTATGGAAGGATGAAGGAAAAGGAGGCATGAAGGATGACATCTGGGTTTTTGGTTTGAGAACTGGGGTTCATGGTGGTACTATTTCTTGAAATGGAGAGGACTGAGAGAGTATGGTTTTGAACATATTAGACTTAAGGTGTTTTTCACACATGTACATGGAGAGAGATGTTAAGTAGCCATTTGGATATACAACTCTGAAGTTTGGGGAAAGATTGAAAACTGGAAATAAAATTATGGAGTCATTGGCATATAAATGATGGTAAAGGGTATGAGATGAGATCTTCTTAGGAGACTTTAGGAAGAGAGTGAAGCCAGCTTAGGATGGGGCCTGCGTGGAGGAGGAGACTGGAGAAGGAGTCAGTGAGATAGTAGAAAAGCTAGCATAGTGGTCTTATAAAAGCTAGAAGTGGAGTGTTTCAAGGAGAGTGGTCAGTGTGTGAATGCTGCAAAGAGGTCACATAAGAGACAAGAGAGACATGACCACTGGATTTAGCAACATAGGTCATAGATGACCTTGACAACAGTAGTTTCCATGTATGTAGGGGCAGAAGCCTGATTGTCATGGGTTAAGGAGAGAATGTGAGGTAAGGAAGTAGAGACAGCAGGATAGACAGCTCAAGAACTTTTGCAGTGAAGGAGAGGTAAGGAGGTCATGGGGTCAAGGAAGAGTTTTTTTCAAAGAAGGGAAATTCTGGAGTAGGCTTGCTTGCTGTTGTATATGAGCCAGTAGAGAAGGTAGAAACTGGTTGTGCGAGAGAGAGATTATTCAAGATGATGTCTTTTGACAAAGCAAGAGAAGATGGGTCCAGAACCCTAGCAGAGGAGTTTGTCTTTCTTCAGAGCAGGGACACTTAACTGATTGTTACTGGAGGAAAGTATGAGTGAAGATGCAGGTGGGTTTGTTGATATTCATTTTTCCTAACACAGTATTAAATTATTGCGCCCATTTTAGAGATCGGAAAAGTGAGATTTGATGAGGAAGAATGAGTTATTTGTATAGTATGGCCCAGTAGCATCAGTAGTTATAGAACTCAAATCTCTAGACTTCCAGGTGAGTGTTCCAGTTTGTTATGTTCTTTGAGATTGAAGTGTCATAAAATATAGATTAATGTGTTTTGTGTCTTCTTGGCTCATCTGGGTATTTTGTTCTAGGGGCAGATCTGGAAGCATCTTTGCTAAGTTTTGAAAAACTTGACCGTGCCTCGCCAGACCTTTGGCCAGAACAATGTAAGTTTTTGGTTTCTTTATATCAGAATCGATGCAGGAGAACTAGTGGTACTTTGAGGGAGATTTTTGAACAGTTATCATTTAACTATAATGATTAAAATTTGAATTTTACTTCGAAGGGAAGAGACTGAATTCTGTGGTCCAATGTTAAGAATAGCTGTTTGGTGTTTTTATTTTTTCAGAACACAGTGTGACTCAGGAAATGATAGGGAGCCTTTAAAACATAATTATTTCAAAAAACTACACCTGTATTAAGTTCAAACAATACAGAGATACATAAAGTATTTCTTCACCTCCTTCAATCACTGTTAAAAAGTTAACCATTGTTAATAGTTTAGTACTGATATTTTTTACCTTTTTTATGCTTATACAGATAAACAAATAAGTGTATATTTTTAAGTATATTGAGGGGTTTTGTTTTGTTTTTTTTGGTGTAATGGTGGAGTCATATGTACATGGTCTACAGCTTCATTTAGTCCACCTAGTAATTTATTAACAGATCTTTCCATGTTGGTAGGTATAGATCTACTTCATTCTTTTAAAATATTTAATTATATAGATATTCTATAGTTTATGTATTCATACCCTATTTGGAAACCTAAGTTCTATCCAATTTTTGATTATTACAAACAATTTAACAATGTATGTCCTTGCACATATATCTTTGTGCACATGGAAGGGGATGACTGTATAAGAGAATGCCCATTTCCTCATATGCTAGCCAATATTGGATGTTACTGATCTTTATTATTTTTAGTTTGTTTTTTTTTTAATTAGGTTTAACATTATTTTATTTTTAAATATCTGGTTTTTATTTTTCTGTTTTTTAATGTGATTCTTCCTGTGAGACATTTAAATAAACAATTGGATTGACAGAACAGCATACCTATAAAGGAAATTTGAACTTTTTGGTAAGAGATATTGTATCTCACCACCCTGTCCTCCAGCTCACTACTGATCCTTCAAGGGTCAGTTGAGGCATTATTTTCTCTGAGAAGCTTTTCCTGCTCCCTCAGTCTGATTTAGATTTACATTTTGGGGGGCAAGGGGGTCCTCCCATAGCATCTGGTATGTTTCTTAGAGCACTTAAAAAATATTATAGTTATTAATTTACTCTCTCTCCTCTTCCAGACTATCAGCTCCTTGAAGACAGGGCTGTTTTCTTCTTATCTGAATCTTCTTTGTCTGGGGCACTAAAATATTTATTGAAGGAATAATGTTGTATTTTGTTTTGTTTTTTTAGTACCAGGCGTTGCTGAATTTGCAGCTTCCTTCAAAAGTGTAAGTAATATCTTTCTTACCTAAAGAAGTTGATGCAATGTTTTGCTCCTGGGTAAAAGTTCAAATATTTCTTATTTGTTCACTTTCAAGAATAATGTCATAGCCTTAAAATCATTTTGTGACTGTAGCCCCGGAAATCTGTTTATATTATCATCATATTAATTGAAGATGATGTCTTCCTGTGTCCAACTGCTCTATTTTGGCATTTTGACCTTTGTCTGTTAGCCTCTTTTCTCAGCTTAAAAGCTTTTAAGGTAAGGCAATTGAAGTATTTAACGTAACGCCAGTACTGTTTTTGCTCAAACTATGATTTTGAAGCTTTTCTCTTTTGTTTATGTAATGCATTATGACCTTAACTTACACCTCCTTAGAGGACTTTGAAATTTCTCAGTTGCACATCAGAAATCTGAAGAAAGACATCCATTAGAGCCACAACTTTCCCACTGGCAGGGCAGCAGGCATTGTGCTAGATGCTCTAAATGTATTCTCTTATATATATATTCCCATGCCAGGAAAATATGATTATCATATTAGCTAGCACTTACATAATGCTTACCATATGCCAGGCATTGTTCTAAGCACTTTACATGTATTATTTCATCTTCACAAAACCACATGAGATATAGGTACTATTATTGTCCTTATTTTACCAACAAGGAAATAGGCCCAGAGAGGTTAAGTAGGTTTCCCAAGGTTATAGGCTATAAGTGGCAGAACCAGGCTTGGAACTCATTAGTCTGATTACTAGTGTCCATACTCTAAACACCATACTTAGAAGCATTCGAGACCAATGTTAAAAGCACTGACTGACAGAGAAACTTGGAGGTTAAGTTACTTGCCCAAGTCCTGGTGAGTGACAGGCCGGGATTTGAACACAGGTCTGTCTGATTCCAAAGCCCATGCTCTTTCTATTAAACCATACCATTGGGGATTTGTAATATAACTCTCACAGTACTTTACTATATGCTTAGCATTCTCTACTCATTATTGGAGTTAAAGGTGCTGAGTTATTAAGACCCCCCTGGGCCTATGGCTTTCAGTCCCCATGAGAGTATTTGTTCAGAGGGAATCTGATTTTGTAGCCTCTTTCATTTTTTCAAGAGCTAGGGTTGTATGAAAACTGGCCTGTGCTTTATTAGCATCCAGTAAGGCCTAAGCATGAGGAGTGCTGGATACCATAGGCTTTGCAGTCAGACATACTTGGATTTGAGTCCTGAATCTGCTACTTAACTGTCTTCCTAACATTTTTGAGCCTTGGTTTTCTCATCTGAAACTACCTCAGAGGATTGTTAGTATAAAGTGCCATAATGTATATAAAACACTTTGCATAGTGTCTAGGACATAATAAACAATACATAGTAGCTATTATTTTTATATCAGCTTTGTCTAGTATATGGAATAGAAACGACCTGATTTAATTTTCTTACCTTATCATTCATGTGTAGTTGTAATTAACTGAAAACTAAGTGTTTTAAGTTGTAAATATAAGTATGTGTTTTTTAAAAAACTTTTAGAGTGTGGTGTTTTTTAAAAACCTGATTAAATATTTATATCTTTTCCCTAGAAGTATGCACATACGTATTATTTTGAGTTTTGTTTCTAGGGGTTCAGGGCCATCCTAGAACCCCAGGTTAAGATCCCCTGGTATAGTCTGATTCCCTAGTAGAGGGAAAAATGGTGAGTTTGACCTAGAGCCTTCTACTGGAGGTAGTATAGAGTAGTGGTTTCTGAACTCAGACTACATGGGTTTTGAATCCTGGTTTCACCAGCTCTGTGACTGGAGGCAAGTTATTTATGATCTTCCTCTACTTCAGTTTTCTTCATTTGTAAAGTGAGGATAATAATAGCTGCTTCCTAGGGTTGATTTGGAAATTAAATGACATGATGCATGTAAAGTGTTTTGCTTGTCACATAGTACCAAGTAAATATTCATTTAAAAAAAAGGAAAAGTGCTCGAGGGACATCAGCATCATGGTGGAGTGAGCTTTCCCCCTTAGACTCTCCACCTAAGATACAACAAAAAGGACATTCATATACCAACAGAGGACACTCACACAACACAAAAGACGTCTGAGAGACCCACCCGGCCGTACATCTGAAGGTGGAGGTGCTGGACCCCCCAGAGGAAGTGGAAGGAGGTAAGGAAAACTCCTCTCCTTCCCCAACAGCAGCGACTCCGGGTCCGCGAGGCTCTCAGAGAAAGATGGGGGAGGGGCGGCCCTCCATGGGAAAACCGTCGCTCTCCAAGTTCTCTCACAGCCTGTGGGAAATTCCCATATGGAGGGGACTGAACCATTGCAGGGGTGCCTTCATCAAGCTAGCACCCCAGGAGAGCAGATAGTGAAGGAAGAGCGAGAAGCCCCTGGGATAGGGCAGGCGAAAGAGTCCCTCACCTCTGGGTCCACACGGGTCTCAAAGAGAGAGGGGGGAGGGGGCGGCCCTCCGAGGGAAAATCATCGCTCTCCAAGTTCTCTCACAGCCTGTGGGAAATGTCAGTATGGAGAGGACTGAACTGTTGTGGGGGTGCCTTCATCAAGCTAGCACCCCAGGAGAGCAGATAGCAAGGGTAGAGTGAGAAGCCCCTGGGATCCGGCAGGTGAAAGAAAGAGCCCCTCCCCCCCACTAGGTGCTCCAGCACAACCAATTGGCCACAATGCCTGCGGATCAGGAGGGCTCAGAATATACAGCTCTTGACCCCCACCCAGTGGCGGTGGGTGGAAGCTGCAACCGGATATTTTCAATACACAGCTCTTGACCCCCATTCAGTGGTGGCAGATGGAAGCTGCGACCAGATATTCTCAGAATGAGGAAAAATAAGCCCACCCCCTCAAGCAGTATTCAAAAATATATTAAATCTCCAGACCAGAAGGAAAATGACAAGCACCCAGAAATCATTCCTGAAGGCACAGAAATTTATAACCTAAAAGAGAATTAAAAATAGCTATCATAAAAAAGCTCAATGAATTACAAGAAAATACAGATAGACAATTCAACGACATCAGGAACTTCTTCACAAAAGAGATTGAAACTGTAAAGAAAAACCAATCAGAAATGTTGGAGATGAAAAACACAATGGAGGAGATAAAGAAAAATCTGAAATCTTTAAAGAACAGAGCTGACAATATGGAGGGAAGAATTAACATTGTTGAGGATAGGAATGCAGAAATGCTCCAGATGGAGGAGGAGAGAGAACTAAGACTAAAAAAAATGAAGACATTCTCCAAGAAATATGACTCAATTAGGAAATGCAACATAAGGATTACAGGTATTCCAGAGGGAGAAGAGAGGGAAAACAGAGCAGAGAGCTTGTTTAAAGAAATAATAGCTGAGAACTTCCCAAACCTGGAGACGGAGCTGGAAATACAAGTGAATGAAGTCATCAGATCTCCTAAATATATTGACATAAAAAGACCCTCTCCAAGGCATATAATAGTAAAGCTGGCAAAAGTCAGTGCCAAAGGAAAAAATATTAAAGGCAGCAAGACAAGAAAATATAACGTACAAAGGAATCCCAATCAGGCTCTCAGCCGATTTCTCGGCAGAAACTCTACAGGCTAGGAGAGCGTGGAATGATATATTCAAAATTCTGAAAGACAAAAATTTTCAGCCAAGAATACTCTATCCAGTGAAAATATCCTTCAGATATGATGGAGAAATAATAACTATCTGAGATAAACAGGGCCGGCCCTGTGGCTTAGCGGTTAAGTGCGCGCCATCCGCTACTGGGTTCGGCCAGGGTTCGGATCCCAGGCATGCACCGACGCACTGCTTC